CTCACTCACACACTCACCCACTCAATCACACACTCACACACACACACACTCACTCACACTCACACACTCACACACACACACTCACACACACTCACTCACTCACACACTCAATCAACTACTCACACACTCACACACACTCACCCACTCACACACTCACACACACTCACTCACTCACCTACTCACACACTCAATCACACACTCACTCACACACACTCACTCACTCACACTCACACACTCACACACACACACTCACACACTCACTCACTCACACACACTCACACACACACTCACTCACACTCACTCACTTAGTCACTCACACACACACTCACTCACTCACTCACCTACTCACTCACTCACTCACCCACTCACTCACACACACTCACACACACACACTCACACACTCACCCACTCACACACTCACACACACTCACTCACCTACTCACACACTCAATCACACACTCACACACTCAATCACACACTCACACACTCAATCACACGCTCACACTCACTCACTCACACACTCAATCACACACTCACACACTCACACACACTCACTCACACACACACTCAATCAACTACTCACACACTCAATCACACACTCACACACACACACACACTCACTCACTCACCTACTCACACACTCAATAACACACTCACTCACTCACACACACTCACCCACTCACCTATTCACTCACTCACTTAGTCACTCACACACACACACTCACTCACTCACCCACTCACACACTCACTCACCTACTCACTCACCCACTCACCCACTCACTCACCTACTCACTCACTCACTTAGTCACTCACACACACACACACTCACTCACTCACCCACTCACTCACCTACTCACTCACTCACACTCACTCAGCTACTCACTCACACACTCACACACTCACTCACACACACACTCACTCACTCACCTACTCACACACACACTCACACACACTCACTCACACACACTCACACTCACTCACACACACACACACTCTCACACACACACTCACTCACACACACTCACACACACTCACTCACTCACCCACTCACCCACTCACTCACCTACTCACTCACTCACTTAGTCACTCACACACACACACACTCACTCACTCACCCACTCACTCACCTACTCACTCACTCACCCACTCACACACTCACTCACCCACTCACACACTCACTCACCCACTCACTCACCTACTCATACACTCCATCACACACTCACACACACACACTCACTCACACACACACTCACTCACTCACACACAACAACAACAACAACAACCGCCATTCGCCACTAAGTGGCGGTGACGTCACCACGACGCTTGTGCCAGGCTATGTGCACCCTGAGGCCACGTGAAGTGTCGAACGCCCGCTGGCAGGAGGTCACGGGGCAGACCCAGGTGCCACGGGTCGACTGACTGAGATGACTGGCTGATGCACCACCTGTGCCCCCTACTGTGCCAACCTGCTGTGCTTTAGCCACCCGGCGCTCCGCTCGCTGTTGTGAGCGTCGCTCCTCCGCCCTCCGATGTTGTTGGAGGGCGACTGCCTCCAACTGCCCAGTAGCATCCTTCACGAGCCTCCTCCACAGAGGCCGATCTTGACACCGCTGGTACCAGTCATCGGCAAGTCCACTCAGCTCCACGTCCTCCTGTACCACATCACTCCATCTCTTCTCTAGCCCGTGCCGCGCCCGCTTAGCCCCCTCAATCCGGCCAAACAAAAGCTGTTTCGGCATGCGGTGGCTGGGCATGCGGGCTACATGACCCAGCCATCGCAGCCTTGCCTGCCGGAGGAGCTCACCGATGGGACCCTGCCCAGATCTTTCAAGGATTTGTGAGCTCCTCACACAATCCAGTCTGGTTAAACCCAGGATGGATCGTAGGCAGGCCAGCCTAAATGTTTCTAACCGGCGAAGATGTTCCATTAGGGGGGTCCACGTTTCGCAAGCATAGAGAAGGGAGGGAATGACCGTGGCCTAGAAGACCTGAAGCTTAGTGCGGAGCGACAGACCAGGTAGCTTCCACACAGCGTTACGCAACCGATGAAAAGATATTGCCGCTCGACTGATTCGGAGTGAGACCTCTGCTGTTAAACTGGAGCCAGTCATAAGCACACTGCCCAGGTATGGGAAACTCTCCACTCTCTCCACAACTGCCCCATCACCGATTGGGAGTTGTGGGGGTGGAGTGTCCGATGGTACAAAATACCCAGGCAGGTGCTTAGTTTTGGTGGGGCTGATGGTAAGGCCCCACCTCTTAGTGGCATGCTCCAGTCTCAGCAGCAGCGTCTCCAACTCCTCCTCTGACTGAGCAGCTATTACCAAGTCATCAGCATACATAACGTGGTTGAGCAATAGGGAGCCATCCCTTGACCGCACCCGGGCATCGATTAGCCTCCCATTATATCTGTACCATATGGAGATTCCCCCGGTACAGCTATTGAAGGCTTCACGAACTACGTGGTCAAAATAGATGTTAAATAATGTGGGAGCCAAAGGACATCCCTGTCGCACCCCAAGGTGTACAGGGAATGGCTCTGACTCCCGGCCACGTAGTTTTACCCGGGCCCGCTCACCATCATGAAGGTCCTTAATGATCGTGAGCAGAGGGTCAGGTACTCCAAAAGCACGAAGAACGACCCAGAGCCCAGGCCTACTGATGGTATCATAGGCCTTGACCAGGTCAATAAAGCAGAGATGTAGGTCTTGCTGGAATTCCCTACACCTCTGCTGTAGCAGACGGACAGAAAATATGGCATCTGTGCAGGACCGCCCTTTCCTGAAACCGCATTGGGGCTCCGCAAGCCTCTCCTCAGCGTGCCTGGCAAGGCGAAGCTGAATAATCCTTGCCAGGACCTTTCCCGGCACACTGAGGAGTGAGATGCCCCTGTAGTTGTTACAGTCTGTGCGGTCCCCCTTCTTAAAAAGGGGGACCACCAGGGCATCCTTCCAATCCTGCGGAACCCGTCCAGTGGTCCAGACTGTTGTTATGATGTCATATAGGGCAGTCTGTGCACAAACGCCACCCTCCCTCAGCATTTCGCTTGGGAGATCATCTCTGCCCGCTGCCTTTCCTGGTCTCAGACTCCGGATCGCCTTCAATACTTCCTCAGCAGATGGCACCTCAGCCAGCCACTCACAGGGGGTGACTTCATCCAATATTTGAGGCACCGCAGCCTCAGCAGGGTCATCCTCACTTTGTGCCGCGATGTTTTCCTGGCTGAGGGATTTTCCCTCCCCCAGGACCTCACAGAAATGCTCAGCAAATCTGCGAACCTGTACCTGGGGGTCGGTAATTGGATCACCGTTTTTTCCCGTAATGATGGTAATAGGTGTGGCGCTGCAGGTTACTTTTTTGATGGAGTTAAATAGAGATTTGTGATCACGGGCCACTGAGGCAGACTCCATCTCCTCAGCAACCCGCGACCACCACCCATCCTTGCAGCGCCTCACGGCTCTCCGAACCTCCGAGCGAAGGCTGCGGTAAGCCTCCTCATTCTCTGACGTGGGATTCTGTAGCCGATGACAGTGGGCCTGTCGCTTTTTCTCAACCATCCTGAACAACTCCTCTGTCATCCAGGGTTTCTGGGGAGGTCTGGACCGCGTACCCAAAGCAGCCATTGCAGCTGCATGAGTCACAGTCCTAAACCTCGCCCATTTACCCTCGACATCAGGAGGAGTCGGGGACGATGCCAATCCCAGCCGCAAGCGATGATGAAATTCTCGCTTGCAACTTTCATCAGATAACTGAGACCAGGCCACTTTAGGTTGGAATGGGGTCCTGGGTGTACACCCACCACCGGAGTGGAAGAATGGCAGGCGCATCTTACAGATGACTAGTCGATGGTCAGAGGGCAGATCAGCTCCACGGTAGGTCCTGGTGTCAAGGACATGGGCTCGCATTCGCTGGTCCGTCACTATGTAGTCCAGCAGATGTTCTTGCTTGGACCCGGCATGCATCCATGATGTTGTGTGGATGCGCCGATGCCGGAACAGCGCCGATGCCGGAACTACTCACTCACTCACTTAGTCACTCACACACACACACACTCACCCACTCACACACTCACCCACTCACCCACTCACTCACCTACTCACTCACTCACTTAGTCACTCACACACACACACTCACCCACTCACACACTCTCTCACCTACTCACTTACCTACTTACACACTCACCTACTCACTCACCTACTCACCTACTCACTCACTCACACACACTCACTCACACACACACTCACTCACTCACTCACACACACACACTCACCCACCCACTCACTCAGCTACTCACTCACTCAGCTACTCACTCACCTACTCACCTACTCACTCACTCACTCACACACACTCGCTCACACACACTCACTCACTCACACACTCACACACACACACTCACCCACTCACTCACTCAGCTACTCACTCACTCAGCTACTCACTCACTCACTCACCTACTCACTCACTCACACACTCACCCACTCACTCACCTACTCACACACTCACACACACTCATTCACTCACTCACCCACTCACTCACTCACTCACACTCACTCAGCTACTCACTCACTCACTCAGCTACTCACTCACTCACCCACTCACTCACTCACTCACCCACTCACTCACCTACTCACTCACTCACTCACACCCACTCACTCACTCACACAGCTACTCACTCACACTCACTCACTCACACAGCTACTCACTCACTCACACTCACTCACACACACACTCACTCACTCACCCACTCACTCACCCACTCACTCACTCACTCACCCACTCACTCACCCACTCACTCACTCACTCACCCACTCACTCACTCACCCACTCACTCACTCACCCACTCACTCACTCACCCACTCACTCACTCACCTACTCACTCAGATGACTGGCTGAGTGAGTGGGTGGGTGAGTGGGTGGGTGGTTGGTGGGTGGTTGGTGGGTGGTTGGTGGGTGGGTGTGCAAGTTAATTAATTATTAACACCCACCCTGGTGTCTGCTCACAGCTCCATCCTCCAGGGTGCTGTGAGCCACAAATCCCTTGGCCTGGCCTCGAACCCCATCCTGCACCTCTACTACAACTCACGGGTGACTCACTCACCAGCTCACTCACCAACTCACTCACCCACTCACCAACTCACTCACCACCTCACTCACCAACTCACTCACCCACTCACCAACTCACTCACCACCTCACTCACCAACTCACTCACCCACTCACTCACCCACTCACCAACTCACTCACCCACTCACCAACTCACTCACCCACTCACCACCTCACTCACCACCTCACTCACCAACTCACTCACCAACTCACTCACCAACTCCCTCACCACCTCACTCACCAACTCACTCACCACTCATCAACTCACTCACCACCTCACTCACCACCTCACTCACCAACTCACTCACTCACCACTCACCCACCACTCACTCACTCACTCACCACTCTCACTCACCACTCACTCACCCACTCACTCACCACTCACCAACTCACTCTCCAACTCACTCAGCACCTCACTCACCACTCATCAACTCACTCACCACCTCACTCACCAACTCACTCACCCACTCACCACCTCACTCACCACCTCACTCACCACCTCACTCACCACCTCACTCACCACCTCACTCACCAACTCACTCACCACCTCACTCACCACCTCACTCACCACCTCACTCACCAACTCACTCACCACCTCACTCACCACCTCACTCACCACCTCACTCACCAACTCACTCACCAACTCACTCACCACCTCACTCACTCACCCACTCACCAACTCACTCACCACCTCACTCACCAACTCACTCACCAACTCACCAACTCACTCACCAACTCACTCACCACCTCTCTCACCACCTCACTCACCAACTCACTCACCCATTTACCAACTCACTCACCACCTCACTCACCAACTCACTCACCACCTCACTCACCACCTCACTCACCACCTCACTCACCAACTCACTCACCAACTCACTCACCACCTCACTCACCAACTCACTCACCAACTCACTCACCAACTCACTCACCACTCACCAACTCACTCACCAACTCACCAACTCACTCACCAACTCACTCACCACTCACCAACTCACTCACCACCTCACTCACCACCTCACTCACCAACTCACTCACCCACTCACCAACTCACTCACCACTCACCAACTCACTCACCACCTCACTCACCAATTCACTCACCAACTCACTCACCAACTCACTCTCCAACTCACTCACCACTCACCAACTCACTCACCAACTCACCAACTCACTCACCAACTCACTCACCACTCACCAACTCACTCACCACCTCACTCACCACCTCACTCACCAACTCACTCACCACCTCACTCACCACTCACCACCTCACTCACCACCTCACTCACCAACTCACTCACCACTCACCAACTCACTCACCCCCTCACTCACCACTCACCAACTCACTCACCACTCACCACCTCACTCACCAACTCACTCACCACTCACCAACTCACTCACCCACTCACCAACTCACTCACCACTCACCAACTCACTCACCAACTCACTCACCACTCACCAGCTCACTCACCAACTCACTCACCAACTCACCAACTCACTCACCAACTCACTCACCACTCACCTACTCACTCACCAACTCACTCACCAACTCACTCACCCACTCACCAACTCACTCACCACTCACCAACTCACTCACCAACTCACTCAACAACTCACCAACTCACTCACCAACTCACTCACCACTCACCACCTCACTCACCAACTCACTCACCAACTCACTCACCCACTCACCAACTCACTCACCACTCACCAACTCACTCACCAACTCACTCACCTACTCGCTCACCACCTCACTCACCAACTCACCAACTCACTCACCAACTCACTCACCACCTCACTCACCACTCACCAACTCACTCACCAACTCACTCATCAACTCACTCACCAACTCACTCACCAACTCACCAACTCACTCACCAACTCACTCAACAACTCACTCACTCACCAACTCACCACCTCACCAAATCACTCACCACCTCACTCACCAACTCACTCACCAACTCACTCACCAACTCACTCACCAACTCACTCACCCACTCACTCACCACTCACCAACTCACTCACCAACTCACTCACCACCTCACTCACCAACTCACTCATCACCACACTCACCAACTCACTCACCAACTCACTCACCACTCACCAACTCACTCACCACCTCACTCACCACCTCACTAGACACACTCACCACCTCACTCACCAACTCACTCACCACTCACCAACTCACTCACCACCTCACCACCTCACTCACCAACTCACTCACCAACTCACTCACCCACTAACCAACTCACTCACCACTCACCAACTCACTCACCAACTCACTCACCAACTCACTCACCAACTCACTCACCAACTCACTCACCACTCACCAACTCACGGGTGACTCACTCACCACCTCACTCACCAACTCACTCGCCACTCACCAACTCACTCACCAACTCACTCACCTACTCACTCACCACCTCACTCACCAACTCACCAACTCACTCACCAACTCACTCACCACCTCACTCACCACTCACCAACTCACTCACCAACTCACTCAACAACTCACTCACCGCTCACCAACTCACCACCTCACCAACTCACTCACCACCTCACTCACCAACTCACTCACCAACTCACTCACCAACTCACTCACCACCTCACCAACTCACTCACTCACCACCTCACCAACTCACTCACTCACCACCTCACCAACTCACTCACCAACTCACTCACCAACTCACTCACCACCTCACTCACCAACTCACTCACCAACTCACTCACCACTCACCAACTCACTCACCACCTCACTCACCACCTCACTAGACACACTCACCACCTCACTCACCAACTCACTCACCACTCACCAACTCACTCACCACCTCACCACCTCACTCACCACCTCACTAGACACACCACTTCACCAGTGATGACTCTGATGATGCTGATGATGACACTGACACTGATGATGATGACACTGATGATGATGATGACGATGATGATGATGATGACGACGATGATGACTGATGATGATGACACTGACACTGATGATGATGACGACGCAACTGATGATGATGACGACACTGATGATGATGACGACACTGATGATGATGACACTGATGATGACGATGACACTGATGATGATGACACTGATGATGACGATGACACTGATGATGATGACGACACTGATGATGACACTGATGATGACACTGATGATGATGACACTGATGATGACGACACTGATGATGATGACACTGATGATGTCACTGATGATGATGACACTGATGATGATGACACTGATGATGATGACACTGATGATGATGACACTGATAATGACGACACTGATGATGACGCTGATGATGATGACGACACTGATGATGATGACGACACTGATGATGATGTCACTGATGATGATGACACTGATGATGATGATGACGACACTGATGATGATGATGATGACACTGACGATAATGACGATGATGATGACACTGATGATGATGACGATGATGATGTCACTAATGACGATGACACTGATGATGATGACGACACTGATGATGATGACGACATTGATGATGATGACACTGATGTCACTGATGTTGACGACACTGATGATGATGACGATGATGTCATCAATGACGATGACGTCACTGATGACGATGTTTCCTCAGCCCGTGCTCTTCGTGATGTGTGCTGGCAACGAGTTATTTTACTGCCTCCTGTACCTCTACCAGTACAGCAGTGGGCCTAGCGGTAAGCCACAACCACCACAACCACAACCACCACCACAACCACCACCACTACCACAACCACCACCACCACCACTACAACCACCACCACTACCACAACCACCACCACCACCACTACAACCACCACCACTACCACAACCACCACCACTACAACCACCACCACTACCACAACCACCACCACTACCACAACCACCAGCACCACAACCACCACCACCACTACCACAACCACCAGCACCACAACCACCACCACTACCACAACCACCAGCACCACCACCACAACCACCACCACTACCACAACCACCACCACCACCACTACAACCACCACCACTACCACAACCACCACCACCACCACTACAACCACCACCACTACCACAACCACCACCACTACCACAACCACCAGCACCACAACCACCACCACCACTACCACAACCACCAGCACCACAACCACCACCACTACCACAACCACCAGCACCACAACCACCACCACTACCACAACCACCACCACCAGCACCACCACCACCAGCACCACAACCACCACAGCCACCAGAACCAGCACAGCACCACCACCACTACCACCACCACCAGCACTACCACCACTACCACCACCACCAGCACCACCACCACTACCTCCACCACCAGCACTACCACCACCACCACAACCAGCACAGCACCACCACCACAACCACCACCACCAGCACTACCACCACTACCACCACCACCACTACCACCAACACAGCCACCACCACCACAGCCACCACCACAGCCACCACAACCACAGCCACCACCACCGGCACCACAGCCACCACCACCACAACCACCACCACCACAACCACCACCAGCACAGCCACCACCACCACAACCACCACAACCACCACCACAACCACCACCAGCACCACCACAACCACCACCACCACCACACAGTGATGATGTTGACGGTGTTTGCGATGTTTATGGTGATGATGGTGACAATGTTGATGATGGTGATGATGGTGACAATGTTGATGATGATGTCGATGATGTTGATGATGTTGATGATGGTGACAATGTTGATGATGATGTTGATGATGGTGACGATGTTGATGATGTTGATGATGTTGACGATGTTGATGATGTTGATGATGGTGACAATGTTGATGATGATGTTGATGATGGTGACGATGTTAATGATGATGTTGATGTTGACGATGTTGATGTTGACGATGTTGACGATGTTGATGATGGTGACAATGTTGATGATGATGTTGATGATGGTGACGATGTTGATGATGATGTTGATGATGTTGACGATGTTGATGTTGACGATGTTGATGGTGACGATGTTGACGATGTTGATGATGGTGTTGTTGATGGTGGTGATGGTGACGATGTTGATAATGGTGGTGATGGTGACGATGTTGATGGTGACGATGTTGATGGTGACGATGTTGACGATGTTGACGGTGACGATGACGATGGTGACGATGGTGACGATGTTGATGGTGACGATGTTGACGATGTTGATGGTGACGATGTTGATGGTGACGATGGTGACGGTGTTGACGGTGGTGACGATGTTGACGATGATGTTGACGATAGTAATGGGTTTTACCCTTTTAACCGGCACAAAAAAACTGACGCCTTTATTCAAGGCATCATGTCTGCAATAACCACAACACAAGCAGTCAAAATGCAGACAAAAAAGACAACTCTGATTTGAGTTGTACGCCTTTTGGCGTCTTCTGGTCCAACACCAGTGGAGAGACTAAAGGGCTCTAAGAAAAGCCGTCTCGGGTGTGGACCAATCAAATTCAAGGACAGTGCCAATATTATTATCAGAGTTGTCTTTTTGTTTGCATTTTGACTTCTTGTGTTGTGGTTATTGCAGACATGATACCTTGAATAAAGGTGTCAGTTTTTTTTGTGCCGGTTAAAAGGGTAAAACCTCTTCCTATTTCTTGTTACTGGCACAGGAGGTCTCATAATGATGTTGACGATGGTGTTGACGATGTTGACGATGTTGTTGACGATGTTGACGATGTTGTTGACGATGATGACGATGATGACGATGATGTTGACGATGATGACGATGATGATGACGATGATGTTGACGATGATGACGATGACGTTGACGATGATGACGATGATGTTGACGATGATGATGTTGACGATGTTGACGATGTTGACGATGACGTTGACGATGTTGACGATGATGACGATGATGTTGACGATGTTGACGATGACGATGTTGACGATGTTGACGATGTTGTTAACGATGTTGACGATGTTGTTAACGATGTTGACGATGATGACGATGATGACGTTGACGATGACGTTGATGACGTTGACGACGATCTTGACGGCGTTTTCTCCGCCGTCCCAGTCCTGGGCGTGGGTGCCGTGCCGCTGTTGCTCCTCGTCACGGCCCCCGTCTGCCTCCTCAAGACCCTCATCAGCTGCGTCCACCTCGTCAGCGCTTCGGCTCACATTGCCGCCCTGGACGCGGAGGAGCGCAAACGCCGCTCCTGAGCCAGCAGCGGCGGTGTCGTCAGTGACGTCATCGTGTCAGTGACGTCATCGTGTCAGTGACGTCATCGCCGTCGTCACCAGTGACATCGTCGTCATCATCGTCAGCGGTGTCATCAGTGTCATCAGTGTCATCATCGTCATCATCAACGGTGTCATCGTCATCAGTGTCATCAGTGTCATCATCGTCATCATCAGCGGTGTCATCAGTGTCATCAGTGTCATCAGTGTCATCATTGTCACCATCATCATCGTCGTCATCATCATCACATCAGTGACATCATCGTCATCATCAAGTGTCGTCGTCATCATCAGTGTCATCATCGTCATCAGTGTCATCAGTGTCATCATCGTCATCATCAGCGGTGTCATCAGTGTCATCAGTGTCATCATCGTCATCAGTGTCATCAGTGTCATCATCATCATCATCAGCAGTGTCATCAGTGTCACCATCATCATCATCGTCATCATCACATCAGTGACTTCATCGTCATCATCAGTGTCGTCGTCATCATCGTCATCATCAGCAGTGTCATCGTCATCATCGCCATCATCGTCATCATCGTCAGTGTCATCTTCATCAGCAGTGTCATCATCGTCACATCAGAGTCATCATCATCATCATCAGTGTTATCATCATCATCAGTGTCATCATCATCGTCATCATCGTCATCATCATCGTCAGTGTCTTCATCATCAGTGACGTCATCGTCACCATCACCATCATCACGTCAGTGTTGTCATCATCATCATCAGTGTCACCATCGTCGTCATTGTCGTCATCACATCAGTAACATCATCATCATCTTCAGTGTCATCAGTGTCACCATCATGTCAGTGACGTCATCGTCATCAGTGACACCATCGTCATCGTCACCATCGTCATCATCAGCAGCGTCATCGTCATCATCACAGCAGTGACATCAGCATCACATCAGTGTCATCATCGTCATCATCAGCAGTGTCGTTGTCGTCATCATCATATCAGAGACATCATCATATCAGAGACATCATCATCATCACATCAGTGTCGTCATCATCGTCATCATCATCAGCAGTGTCATCGTCATCATCATCATCAGCAGTGTCATTGTCATCATCATATCAGTGACATCATCATCACATCAGTGACATCGTCATCATCAGTATCGTCGTCATCATCGTCATTATCGTCATTAGCAGTGTCATCGTGATCATCGTCATCATCGTCAGTGTCATCTTCATCAGCAGTGTCATCCACATCATCACATCAGAGTCATCATCATCATCAGTGTTATCATCATCATCATCAGTGTCATCATCATCGTCATTATCGTCAGTGTCATCATCTGTATCATCATCAGTGTCATCATCATCAGTGTTATCATCAGTGTCATCATCATCAGTGTTATCATCATCATCATCGTCATTATCGTCAGTGTCATCATCATCGTCAGTGTCTTCATCGTCGTCATCATCGTCATCATCGTCATCATCGTCATCATCGTCGTCATCATCATCGTCGTCATCATCGTTATCGTCATCATCGTCGTCATCGTCATCATCGTCGTCATCGTCAGTGTCTTCATCGTCAGTGTCATCAGCAGAGAGGAAGGGGGCGGGTGTTAAAAGGAAGGGGCGGGGCCCAAATAGGAAAACAGGAAGGGGTCTAACGAGCAAGGGGTGTGGTCTATAGAGGAAGGGGCGGGGGCTACAGAGGAAGGGGCGTGGGCTATAGAGGAAGGGGCGGGGGCTACAGAGGAAGGGGGCGTGGGCTACAGAGGAAAGGGGCGTGGGCTACAGAGGAAGGGGCGGGGGCTACAGAGGAAGGGGGTGGGGGCTATATAGGAAGGGGGCGTGGTCTAGAGAGGAATGGGCGGGGTCTATAGAGGAGGCGGCGTGGTCTAGAGGAAGGGGCGTGGTCTAGAGAGGAAGGTGGCGTGTAGATGTTATCTCCCTCGCCTGGTTCGCAGGATGTCGTGGCCTCGCTGTGTCCACCCTGACGATGGCGGCTGTGGTGGTCACCTGACAATGACGATGATGACGACGATGACGGTGGTGGTGGTGGTAGTGGTAGTGGTGGTAGTGGTGGTGGTAGTGGTGGTGTTGGTGGTAGTGGTGGTGTTGGTGGTGTTCACCCCGTGGTGGTGGTGGTGGTAGTGGTGGTGGTGGTAGTGGTGGTGGTAGTGGTGGTGGTAGTGGTGGTGGTAGTGGTGGTGGTGGTAGTGGTGGTGGTGGTAGTGGTGGTGTTGGTGGTGTTCACCCCGTGGTGGTGGTGTTGTGGGGGCTATAGCCCCCCTCCCCACTCCCCCCTCCCCATTACGTGGGGTCTCCCTCCCCCTCCACACACGTGGTGTGTGTGTGTGAGGTTTGACTCCTCCCCCTCCACACACGTGGTGTGTGTGTGTGATGTTTGACTCCTCCCCCTCCACACACGTGGTGTGTGTGTGTGAGGTTTGACTCCTCCCCCTCCACACACGTGGTGTGTGTGTGATGTTTGACTCCTCCCCCTCCACACACGTGGTGTGTGTGTGTGATGTTTGACTCCTCCCCCTCCACACACGTGGTGTGTGTGAGGTTTGACTCCTCCCCCTCCACACACGTGGTGTGTGTGTGTGATGTTTGACTCCTCCCCCTCCACACACGTGGTGTGTGTGTGTGATGTTTGACTCCTCCCCCTCCTCACACGTGGTGTGTGTGTGTGATGTTTGACTCCTCCCCCTCCACACACGTGGTGTGTGTGTGATGTTTGACTCCTCCCCCTCCACACACGTGGTGTGTGTGTGTGATGTTTGACTCCTCCCCCTCCTCACACGTGGTGTGTGTGTGTGATGTTTGACTCCTCCCCCTCCACACGTGGTGTGTGTGTGATGTTTGACTCCTCCCCCTCCACACACGTGGTGTGTGTGTCATGTTTGACTCCTCCCCCTCCACACGTGGTGTGTGTGATGTTTGACTCCTCCCCCTCCACGCACGTGGTGTGTGTGTGTGATGTTTGACTCCTCCCCCTCCACACACGTGGTGTATGTGTGTGATGTTTGACTCCTCCCCCTCCACACACGTGGTGTGTGTGTGATGTTTGACTCCTCCCCCACCACCGTCCCCTCCGGCGCTCAGAATCAATTATAATTTACTCTCTGCGCGGTCGAGCGTCCCTCTATCTATCGAACTCTTTATTTATTTATTTGTGTGTATGTGCGCGTGCACGCGCGGGTCGAGCACATTCCTGATTAAAGTCACCCACACACCGTCGTACGCCGACCGCTGTCCCACCGCTCTTCACACACACACACGTGCACCACGTGCACCACGCGTACCACGCGTCACCACGTGCACCACGCGTCACCACGTGCACCACGCGTCACCACGTGCACCACGCGTCACCACGTGCACCACGCGTCACCACGTGCACCACGCGTCACCACGTGCACCACGCGTCACCACGTGCACCACGCGTCACCACGTGCACCACGCGTCACCACGTGCACACACACACGTGCACCACGTGCACCACGTGCATCACGCGTCACGTGCACCACGCGTCACGACGTGCACCACGTGCACCACGCGGCACCACGTGCACCACGTGCGGCAGCACGTCACCACGTGCATCACGCGTCACCACGTGCACCACGTGCATCACGCGTCACCACACGTCACCACGTCATCACGCGTCACCACGTGCACCACGCGCACCACGCGTCACCACGCGTCACCACGTGCACCACGCGTCACCACGCGTCACCACGTGCACCACGTGCACCATGCGTCACCACGTGCACCACGCGTCACGACGTCCGCCTGCGCCTAGATTTATTTCCCTCGTAGCGAATGGTGGACCCCCTCCCCCCCCCCCGGTGTGTGTGGCCCCTCCCCTCCCCGCCCCTCCCCCACGGCCGGGCTCTAAAGCTCTACGCCCACCTTCTTGGGGGGGCGGGGGGCGGGGGGGGGGCCACCAACGTAATCCGCTCTGGGGGGCTCGGACAATTTCCATGGCCCGTGGGGAGTGAGAACCCGGGGACCCGACCAGCAGTGGGGTGAGAACCCGGGGACCCCACCAGCAGGGGGGTGAGAGCCCGGGGACCCCACCAGCAGGGGGGTGAGAACCCGGGGACCCCAGGGGGGTGAGAACTCGGGGACCCCACCAGCAGGGGGGTGAGAGCCCGGGGACCCCACCAGCAGGGGGGTGAGAACCCGGGGACCCCAGGGGGGTGAGAACCCGGGGACCCCACCAGCAGGGGGGTGAGAACCCGGGGACCCCACCAGCAGGGGGGGTGAGAACCCGGGGACCCCAGGGGGGTGAGAACCCGGGGACCCCACCGGCAGGGGAGTGAGAACCCGGGGACCCCAGGGGGGTGAGAACCCGGGGACCCCACCAGCAGGGGAGTGAGAACCCGGGGACCCCAGGGGGGTGAGAACCCGGGGACCCCACCGGCAGGGGGGTGAGAACCCGGGGACCCCACCAGCAGGGGGGTGAGAACCCGGGGACCCCACCAGCAGGGGGGTGAGAGCCCGGGGACCCCACCAGCAGGGGGGTGAGAACCCGGGGACCCCAGGGGGGTGAGAACCCGGGGACCCCACCGGCAGGGGGGTGAGAACCCGGGGACCCCAGGGGGGTGAGAACCCGGGGACCCCACCGGCAGGGGGGTGAGAACCCGGGGACCCCACCAGCAGGGGGGTGAGAGCCCGGGGACCCCACCAGCAGGGGGGTGAGAACCCGGGGACCCCACCAGCAGGGGGGTGAGAGCCCGGGGACCCCACCAGCAGGGGGGTGAGAACCCGGGGACCCCAGGGGAGTGAGAACCCGGAGACCCCACCAGCAGGGGGGTGAGAACCCGGGGACCCCACCAGTAGGGGGGTGAGAACCCGGGGACCCCAGGGGAGTGAGAACCCGGAGACCCCACCAGCAGGGGGGTGAGAACCCGGGGACCCCACCGGCAGGGGGGTGAGAACCCGGGGACCCCAGGGGGGTGAGAGCCCGGGGACCCCACCGGCAGGGGGGTGAGAACCCGGGGACCCCAGGGGGTCCCTCCTCGAGACCCTACGGGGGTGCATGCGAGTGTCTAGTGGGGGGGGGGAGGGGGTGAGCAGAGGGTTGTGCCGGCCGAGTTGCTCCGCTGCGGTGGCACCACGGTGGAGGTGGTGGAGGTGGTGGTGGTGTTCAACCACCACCCCCACCACCTCCACCACCA